ATGCAACCTGACAATAACACAAGCCATGCAATCTGACATAAACGCAAGCCATGCAATCTGACATTAAGGCAAGCCATGCAATCTGATATTAACACAAGCCATGCAATTTGACATTAATGCAAACCATACAATCTGACATTAAATACGAGCCATACTGACAGACAGGAAACTACATCTAACTCTTCTCTGCAATGTCTGACAGCATAAGCAGTAAGGTAAAAGAAGATCTTGCTTTGCCATCTCACATGACCACCACACATGACCACCTGACATGACCACCACACATGACCACCTCACATGACCACCTCACATGACCACCACACATGACCACCACACATGACCACCACACATGACCACCACACATGACCACCTCACATGACCACCTCACATGACCACCACTCTCAGATTAGGTCTGTGATTGTGTCGCACTTATGCCAGCCAGGTAATTATTTAGTCTCCATTCCCAGCAAAGTTTGACAGTCAGCACTTCACTGTCAAGGTTATTTCTCCATATCCAAAACATCAAGACCACCTATGTCCATTTTCTCTGCAAACACAAGCTCACCTTATACTGATTTATTTATCTTAACTTGGATATTTATAGACAGCGACCCAAGATTTTCACAGTTGTAGTAACTTCTTCTGCTTTCATCCATAATAGGGATATTGGCACGCTGCGGTTTATTGCCAGGCCGTGATGTTTGTGTCTTTCAGCCCAACACATCCGATTTCAGAATATCTTTACTGCATAGACTTTACAACATGCTTGGACTATTCCCACCCCTACCCCAGGAATAAGGCCTCAGAACCCATGCTAGGAATATTAGCAGTAAGAAAGATGACAGACAAAAACTCTCAAGAAAAAAGTCTGTTTGTAGTCACCCATGACAAAGAACAGTATTTCCTGAGATGGTAGGCAGCGTTACCTTTTCTTCTTGACAGTTCCTCGAGGCAATAGAAGAGAACTCTGGCGCCGAGACTGAAACCAATGAGAGTCACAGGTCTGTTACCCTAGAGAATAATAGGAAAAATACTTTGGTAAAAAAGTTTGTTTTTGGTTTGTTTGTTTTTTTGTTGCTTTTTTTTATAATTGTGTCCATCTTCTGTTGTTAATAATGTAATGAAGTCTGTTCTCTAACCAAATGCAGTTAGAAGCCTCCTGACATAATAAAAGAGAGAAGGATGCAGCGGGAAGTATTTGTGGGCTCTGGGTGCTATTCAAAACTAGGGGGAAAAAAAAGAATATAGAAGAAAACTGAACAGTATGAGAGACATAGAAGAAAACTGAACAGTATGAGAGACATAGAAGAAAACTGAACAGTATGAGAGACATAGAAGAAAGCTGAACAGTATGAGAGACATAGAAGAAAACTGAACAGTATGAGAGACAGAAGAAAACTGAACAGTATGAGAGACATAGAAGAAAACCGAACAGTATGAGAGACAGAAGAAAACCGAACAGTAAACCAGACATGGAAGAAAACTGAATAATAAAACAAACATGGAGGAAGCCTGAACAATTCAAAAAAAAAAAAAGGATATGGAAGATTTGCTATCTTCCTCTCCTGAGAGTTCGCAGACTGTAAACTCCACTGGAAAGTACATGTTCATCCACTTCCAGACTGTAGTCATGTTTCAGAACTTGAGTAGTGCGTGTACATATGCTTTACGGATCTTGCCTATTCGTATGCAGAATGCTGGCTCTTTGCCTCTCAGGCAGATGCAGTGCAACTTCAAAGGAAAAACCCCTAATTAGTCAAAGTTTACGACATGCTTGTTGGGGTGGGGTGGGAAAGGGGCAGCCTAGGTCTATTCTTTTTTCAGAATCATATATGATAAGGACATAAATGTAACAGAAGATATGCTCTATACAAGTGACAGGTTTAAAGGCTAGAGGACTGGCTTCATTGCACTAGATGTTATCACATAGGGCTCAGTTTCTCACCACAGAATGGCTAACTGCCAGAGTGTCATACAAAGCATATACTCCATAGCTTCAGCAACAAGCCCACCATGGGTCTCAGTAACAATTTTACCTGTGAACTAAACAATCTTCTTCCTCTTTTTCTTCTTCTTTATGTCCTCTTTTACCATTTCAGGTGTGGGAGGGAGGTATAAGGTCCTGCTTCATGCTGCTTTGACCACAGACACATCATAGTGCTGAAGAGTTTCTCTGATGTTATCTTCCCATCTTGTTCTTGGTCTGCCTCTTGATCTACATCCTTCTCCTCTTTTGGTATATGCCTTGCATGGTTTAGCAAAACTGAATAATACTGTCTGAAAAACAAACCCATGACCATCTGTGTGCGGCTAATGGCTTTACCACTTAACTAAGGGAACTCGTTCAATATTACTAATGACATAAGTACTGTAAATTTACTTTTGAGGTTCAGCATAAGCTGCATAACTTACCTACCAGTTTAAGTTTTTAAAACTATCTATCAGTTTTTTTGTTCTTCTTCCTTCTGTTGTTGTTGTTGCTTTCCAAGCTATTTAACTCCGGCTAAAAGTTCCAGTTATTCACTCACTTTTGGCCTTTAGTCTCCTTTCAGAACATAAGTTTTGCATGCACATCCATTTTACAGATCTAGCTTACCTGTATGCAGACTGCTGGTTCCTTGTCTCTCAGGTAGATACACTTCAACTTCGAAGGAAACCCCCTTATTAGTCGACTCTCACAACATGCTTATTAGGAAGCCAGTGGGTGTACTCATGCCCATTCCGTCCAAAGGGAAATTCTCTTGTTCTCTTCATTCATGACAAAATAAACAACCTGCCTACCTGTTCCCTTGCAAGCAAGACTTCAGCAAGCATCTTTCCAGCAGCCTGAGCTCTCTGCAGTGCCACAGACCAGGGATTGTCTATAATGTTTGCAGCAGACAACAAGGCAGATGGCCATGCAACAGCTGCTAACAATCCTGCAAACATTTGGTAAAACAATTACAAAATGTTTGCTGAATACGCTAAAATATTTTCCATCACAAACATGAGTTCCTTCAACTTCTAATTTCTTATTAATCAGGTGCCATCTCCACAGTGAATGTTGGTTGCAATGGATCTCCAACAAACTCTGTCTCTTGTCCTGGTTGTACCCTCTCTCAGACCGCTGCCTGTCTATCTCTTGATGTCGTCCTCCCACCTGTATCATTGCCTACCTCTTGTTCTCTTGCCTTTGAGCTTTCCTTTCAGTATGGTTTTTAAAAGTGTGCTATGTCTTTTAATATGGTAAAAGTATTTCATCTGTCTCCTTTTTTTTTAAAAGTAATTCTCTTTTCATTTGTAGCCGACTGTAGCTCATTTCCTAAGCAGTTGTCTGGAGTAATAAATGTTTGAGTCTGAAGAGGTTAAGACAGTAACATGATGGGACAAAATGAGTTGAAGTCACAAATGGGACAGCTACAGCTGGGTCGGGTACAAGGTGCCTAGAAAATCAATACCCTCCAGGCAGGTCTAAAATTGCATGATGTACACAATGTTAGTGTGCACAAGAAAGTCCAATACATTGCTTTCATACTGTTTATTCAAAGGAAAACATCGGCAGACTTAGGATCTTTTCTCCAGGCTATGCCGGTGTGGTGGGTAATGAACAGGCAGACAGACTGGCTGGATCTGCACCACAGGGTGGTGAATTGATACATGACAAGGCAGATGTGGTCAAGACCCTTTGGGAACAAGCAACGTAAATAGTAGAGATATAACATTATTGTGGCCTGGAAGAGAATGAGGCATCTGGGTGTAACCAGAGGGTCTAGCCGGCTCACTACACTCAGAGGAAAGGCAATACGGGCATATAACCAGACTGTGACTGGTACCATCAGTACTGGAACTCTGCTCTGGCTACTGAAGATGAGGATGGAGCATGCATGGGAATGCCCTGAGTGCTGTGATGTCAAGTCTTGACTCAACTCAACTCAACATAGGTGGAGTTTTAATCAGGTTGCAGCTGGTACTATTAGCATGTCAACTCTTTGTTGGCTACTGAAGAAGGGGATGAAGCATGTGTGGGAATGTTCTGAGTGCAGCGATGTCAATTCCTGATTCATTTATTCATACTGTTTTATAAAACTTGATATCAAATCTATAGCAACGGAGACACACTGACACTTATGTCAATTTCAGGAGTGTGTACCAACCTGAAAGTAGAACACATCTGCTCTAGAATTAGTCCTATTTCTAATGGTTTTTTGTTTGTTTTTTTAAACTGACAATGCCCTTCAACATCTGCTTAAGTCAAAGTGTCTGTCTCGCAACATCAGGATCAAAATATATAGAACGTTGATAAGACCAGTCATTTTATATGGCTCTGAAACGTGGAGCACATCAAAGATGCAAACAGAGGGGAATAGAGAGTGAGAAGCAACAACAAAATTAATAATATGTTTAAATCACCACTGATCACTGAGAGCTACTAGACTGAAATGGTTGGGGCATATTGAAAGAATCTCAAATGACAGAGAAGTAAAAACTGTATACACAAGGGGGATGAATGGTCGTAGACCACGAGGCAGACCAAGAAGGCGATCGAGAGATAACATCCAGACAGACCTGCAAACACTTGGTGTCACCAAATGGAAAGAGAAGGCCAACCAGAGATATGAATGGAGGCGGGTGATATCTGCAGCAATGAACCTCAAAGGCTCGGAATGCTGAAGAAGAAGAATTCCAGAGGCGGTGTATAAATTTTGTCTACAAAGAAAAACACTTTAGCAAAAGACAAAATCTTGTTTCAAAGTCTACATTTCTACAGCAGGGAGCACCAACTGACTTCCTCTTTGAAAAGTACTGTTTGTACATTCTTCGGACTCAGCCTTGAGAAGAAGAACGGAGCACATAAGGTTACCACCCCTGTGCCATGATGTTGATCAGTTGTTTAAACAGAATCAGTCAATCAGGTGCCTTCTTCACAATGAAGGTTGGCTGCAATGGATCTCCAACAAGCTCCATCTCTTGTCTTGGTTGTACACTCTCTGAGACAACTCTTGATGTTGACTTCCCCTGTCTATATCTTGCTCTCTTGCACTTAACCTTTCTCTCTAGTATAGGTTTTTTACAAAAAATGTGTATGCACGCGCTGGCACACACACACACACATCAATATCTACGTGTGTGCCTCTGTCATACCTAGCTGATGGGTTAAAAATGTGGAGATCTGTAAACAAACCAGTAAAGACTTGCACACATCTCACCACTTAAAACTGTATACTTGAGAGCTTCTTGGGTAGCCATTGACATGGCTGAGTTGAAAATATAATTCAGAGCTTCTCCCATCTGCACCAGGTACTTGGTCTCCCAGCAAAGTGTATACTGTTCCCTGGACTCAGCTAAATACTTCCAGGGCTGTCTAAAATCTGTGAGGAAAGAAGGGCAAAAACACAAATGAACAGTTGGCTTTCATGTGAATTGCAAGGCTCCAAGTTTGAGGAGAAAAGAATTGACCCACTGCCCTCTAATAGGCAAGTCGTAAAAGGTGACTAATTAGGGGTGATTCATTTGAGGTCAGAATGCATCTGCAATGAACCAACAGTCTGCATAAAAATAATCCAGATGTGCACATAAAACTCAAGTTAGGACACCCAACCAAACAATTTGGCTCCCGTGGGCCAGATACAGTATTTGCTGACAGAAGTTAGGGCAATACTGCAGTATGTGCTCAGGGGTCTGTCTTTGTGCTCCACAATCTCAGGCAGCAGATTCTTTTATGCCAGTCCTGTGCAGGTGTGCTCGAAGGCCACAGTGTTCTGTCCGAAGTCCAAAGCCCGACCAAAGCACAGAAGTGGATGAAGAACCTGAACTTTCCACTGGGTTCACAGCCAGTGAATGTAAAGAAGAATAGCTTACCTTAACAATGGGTCACTGAGTTACTATTGACTGATCAATCAGGTCTATGCATTTCTAATTATTTGTGCCGGGATTCTTTTCATAATTGTTACCCACCCGGCTTGCTAGATTTTTGATCTTTCTTGACCTGCCTCTTACCTTATAGAGAGCCCTGTAGTATGTGGTATAGAAAGGCCAGTAGATCTCATTACATTTCCACATCATTGCATTTTATTCCTTTACCCGTTTTTCAAAAAGGATTCATAGTTGCTGGTGCATGGGCAGGCAGGAACAGCTCAAGAAGCCAGTGGCCCCTTCTCTATGATCACCAGCAGCATGACGATGGAGGTGATGGCTGTGACACAAGCTTTCATGTGGCTAGAATCACAGAACTATTCCCGTGTGTGTTTGTGCTGAGTGATTCTTTGAGCATGATCCAGCTGGTCAGGCTGGTTACACAGACAGTGGTTTGAGTCATTGCAAAACTCTCCTGTGTGTGCAGTTACCTTCATAATCGTCCCAGGGTATGCAGGCGTTGTTGGTAATGAAAGAGCTGATATACTGGCAGGTTATATATATACTGGCTGCATTAATTGAAGATGGCCGGCACATGGATCACGCAGACACTGTCATTGCCCTTAGAGAGATAGCACGTTCTGAGGATTTTGGAAGCAACGTGTCCACATCACTTCTAAGAATACGTGAATTGGGAGTAAAGATCGGCACAGCCCAGCACGAGAAGCACACTGGATAAGAAGCTGGGTCGACCCCAGAGCCACAGTGGTCGAATAACAAACCATGAAACTTCTGGGGACTGAAACTAGTAAAAACCATAATACTTTTGGGGACTGAAACTAGTAAAAACCATGATACTTCTGGGGACTGAAACTAGTAAAAACCATGATACTTCTGGGGACTAAAACTAGTAAAAACCATGATACTTCTGGGGACTGAAACTAGTAAAAACCATGATACTTCTGGGGACTGAAACTAGTAAAAAACCATGATACTTCTGGGGACTGAAACTAGTAAAAACCATGATACTTCTGGGGACTGGAACTAGTAAAAACCATGATACTTCTGGGGACTGAAACTAGTCCACTGTCATGATCAGCAAACAAGCTCACTAACTAGCAGGAATAACCAGTCAAGCTGACATCAAGAGGTGCTAAATACAACACAAGTTGTGACTAGAAAGCTCAACAGATTAGAGTGTCTATAAGCACTGAATAGACTGCATACCCTGAATGTACAAACTGGAGCCGTGAGACAAGAAAACCAAACGGCACCCGTCATTACATCAATCAGAACAGAATGGGAGTTGTTAGCCTAAAAACACTTGGAGACATTCTCAGATCAGAGCACTTACGGTCATGTCCGATGTGCGATGAAGATGATCTCTAAAATGAACAATGAATGAATGAACAATAAGTTTATATTTTACACCTTATCCTCGACTTACGACTTATGTGACTCATGACCATCGTAACTTACGACCACAGAAAAATAAATAAATAAAAATAGTAAATAAAGAAAGATTACACTGGTAGCGTCAAACAGTTTCTGGAGTCTCGACCACAGCAGGGTCTAGATATAAGAGACTGTTTGAGCCTACAAGCTATGGCATACTGGAACTGTAGTTTAAATGAAAATAGTGTTGAAAATGTAAATTTGACTCATGACCAGTTAGACGGAACAAAACATGGTTGTAAATCGAGCAGAACCTGTATTCAGCACTCCGCTCGTAAACACTTAAGACGAAACGTTCCGCAGTATTTGCACCGCTCAGTTCCATCTCCTCCTTTGAGCTTTCTAGTTACAGTTTGTGTTCTAGTTCGTATTTGGCTAAATACGGCAGGACTGGAATCAGTTACCTTTATGATTATTGGTGAGCCATCCAGTGACAGCAATGGTTATATGAAGCTGGTTGCTCAGAGTATCTGCCCTCAAACTGTTGCCACAGACTAGAGGTTCAAACTGAAACTCTTCAATAGCACCAACTCTTTTTTTCATCTTGTAGCCTGAAGAAAGAATCAATTCACATTAAGAGAAATAGGACACCACAATTTCTTTTTTTTTACAAGCCTATATATTTAGTTGCATCACTTCTCAGCTTAACATTTTATTTTAGTCTTAGGTAAAGTTGTGTGATATTTTAATTCTCTTGGCACCATGTAAATGTTCATGAGTTCAAGGTAATTAAAAAAAACAGTGCTTATTTTTGACTTTCCAGCATTACAGCTATTTCATTCCTTCACTAAATATCAACTGTTCATCTAACTGCTTCCACCCTATAGTGTTGTTACTTTGGACCCCAAAATTTGCTACTTAAACCTTGAACTTCATTGAAAAGAGGTAGTTAAAAGTAATTGCAGGCTGGTACCAAAAGAGTACATATGAATCAATGTCACTTTTCCTTTGCCAATGTCACTTTTCCTTTGCCAATGTCACTTTTCCTTTGCCAATGTCACTTTTCCTTTGCCAATGTCACTTTTCCTTTGCCAATGTCACTTTTCCTTTGCCAATGTCACTTTTCCAAACCATTACAGACCCCTTTCAAGTAAATAATGCAGAAGGCAGATATCAAACATGTTTGTTCTTTAAAAATTAAATTGCAGCATTAGGTGTCAGGGAGGCATAGCAGGTCCAGTGGCTTGTTCCTCTTCCTCTTCACTCTCAGCCCTTGAGGTTCACTGCTGCAGACATTGCACGCCTCCTTTCATATCCCTGACTGCTCTTTCCTTCCCATTGCAAGAAACAATTCTCTTTGTTATCTGCCATTCTCGCTACATGCCCCAACCGCTGCAGAGCCCAGGCGCTAACACTTTAATGCCTTCACAGATGTGAATCCTCATCAGAGTCAACGTTCAAATTTTCTTGACCTTTGAAATCAATTCAGTCTTATCTCTGTCAATTTGTAAAAAGGCCCAGACTTTTCCTTCTTCCATTTCTTTCCAAGTTAAAACATACATTATCCATGTTTGAGAATTGGGTATTCCCGCATGGAAGTCTGTCATATGGTGGAGAACTGGTTCAGGAACACTGCCAACACTTTTTTTGGGTTTAACTTACAGTATGCCTCATGAAACTCTTAGCTCAGAAATAGGTCCCTTACTTTTTATCTACTGATTATTAAACCAGACCCCAGTGTGGGTTCTGGGACTCTATTATAGGGAAAACAAGAATAGACCCCTGCCTACCCAAAAGCATGTCGTAATAGTTGACTAACTGGGAGCTTCCTTCAAAGTTGGAGTGCATCTGCCTGAGAGGCAAGGAACCAACAGTCTGCACATAAATGTGTCAGATCTGTCAAATGGATGCACACGCAGCACTCAGGTTCTGGAACAAGACTGCAGTCCTGCAGAAGTGAATGAACAACCAGAACTTTCCACCAGAGTTTACAGCTGGTGAACGCAAAGAAGAAGAAGAAGAAGATTAAACCAGAAAACAGGTTTCTTCTATCTTGGACATGTAATAATAGCAGAAATTAAAGGTAAAGGTAAAAGTAAGGGTGAGAGGACCGACGTAATTGCACCGGTTTTATCCCATATGGCTCAGTCTATCCCTGGTGTACAGCTAGCTGCCTGCCTAGAGTGGAGCACAAAGCATTATCTCTGCAGCTGCAGCGATAATCCCTAAGGATCTCTGTACAAACTGCACTTAAGAACTAAAAGGCGCCACTGTGAAATGAACCCATGACCTTCAGAGTGCAAGGCAAATGGCTTGACCACTTTGCCGCTGTGACCCTCTAGCTGAAATGAAACAGAAAAAAAAAAGGAATAGGAATGGCTAAAATATCTTCCAAAAGATGCAAAATTACAGACAGCTCGAAGGATAAACAACATTTACAGTCTACTTTACCTGTCAATCCTGCTCCTGCCACCCCAAAGAGAGAACCAATGACTGCCACACCAGCAGTTGTCCCCAGCACTGCTGCTCCAGTGCCACCAATGATGGCTCCAGCACCTGCTGCAACTAATGGAGCTGCCAAACCACCTGTAAGGCCTGCAGAAGATTCCAGCATGCTGTTAATAATACTTTACATGTACATGTGAACATGCCTTGCATTTTTGGGGGATAGTAAGATAATACCCAGTCTCAACTCCTTCAATATTGAATACCCTGAGTGCTGTGATGTCAATTCTTGACTCAACTCAACTCCTTCAGTACTAAACAATGCATAATACATTCCAAAGATAATACAATTATCTGGCTGTCTTCTTTCACTGACAGATGTTATATTAACTCAGTGGTTCTCAACCTTCCTATGCCACGACCCTTCAAAACTTCCTCTTGTTGTGGTGACCCCAAACCATAAAATTAATTTTGTTGCTACTTCATAACTTCAGTAATTATATTTTTTGTTTTTAATGGTCTTATGTGACCCATGTGAAAGGGTCGTTTGACGCCCAGGTTGAGAACCACTGTTTTTACCTCTTTCTCTTCTGTTCTTACTTCCTTCTCTCCTGTTTTTATTTCAGTCTTTCCTCTGTTCTTATTTCAGTCTTTCCTCCGTTCTTACTTCCTTTTCTTCTCTGTTCTTACTTCTTTTTCTCCTCTGTTCTTACTGCCGCCTCTCCTCTGTTCTTACTACCACGTCTCCTCTGTTCTTACTTCCGCCTCTCCTTTGTTCTTACTTCCTCCTCTCCTCTGTTCTTAATTCCACCTCTCCTCTGTTCTTACTTCCACCTCTCCTTTGTTCCTACTTCCTCCTTTCCTTTGTTCTTTCTTCCACCTCTCATAGGAAATGCCAAAAGATGGTGCATTGGTACTTGAAGTAGATTATAAATATGTCAGACTAATTATAATTCCATGTGCTTGAATTAATATTCTTCTTCTTCTTAAGAATGTCCAAAAAATGTTGATTCTTTGCTTCTGGTATCGGTAACCAGCTCTCTCCACAAGTTAATTTCCTTCAGGAAATCTTCATTCATTTTTTTTTAAATGTGTCCATGATGTTCTTACCATTGTTCTATAAAACCAGATCTCTGCAGTTTCCATATAACTTCTCATTATCTGATCATGTCCATGTCCAACCAAGAAATTAATCCCCTGAGCTGTGGCTAAGAAGTTTAAGGAAGAGGAAAGGGAAACAATGTACACAGAAAAGATAGAATAAAAACAACAAGGGTCAGAGTATCCCAGCCTCTAGTCACATAATGTAAATAACAAAACAAAATATGAGGGCTCCTGAATTTATATGTTACAAGACATTTTTAGAGCACCACAGATGATACACAGTGACACTTTTCAGGATCTGAACATATGGGTGGGGAGGGTGGAGGTCTGGTTACAGACAGTATAGTTTTTCGGAAAATGAAATACTTCGCCAATAATAAATGTGCTAATGTGTTTGAAGAGAACACTGAGCTGAACTGATTCAAGAAACAACATAGTAGTTGCAGCATTGCCATAAGTGTTCCGTTCGCATCTTCAGAGTTGTAATGCAGTGGTGCCAGAAGCAGTCTAATTATCCGTCTGTCTTCCTTTGCTAGTCGGCTCTGTGGCTAAGTCGATGCGAACGCTTCGCTTCGTAATGCCGGGATGCCAGGTTCGATCCCAGCTGTGGGCAATGCGCCTTGCGTTGGTTTCGACAATGGTATCAAGAAAGCCAACCGTCCAGAAAGCAATGGCAAACTACTGGATGTAAATTGCCTAAAAAAACCACACAACAGCCAGGGGCTGTTAGGGTTGTTTCTGCAACGTCCTGTAAAGGATACGCAACTAACTTTCTTCCTTTGCTATGAGCGCCGAGTATCAGCCAGATCCCCTCAACATTGCCGCTGCATTACTCTCACCAGACTGTGATGATTCATTTTCTGCTCCAAATTGTAAACTTGCTCTCATGAGGCCTTAACAGGTCTGCCTTATCACACATCAATATTCCACCACAGAACCAGCCAATGGAAAGGACTGTTCATTTCCCAAATTGTCACATGCCCCGGAGAAAAGATCCAGAAAATGCTTTTAACCGTGGAGAGAAAACTAATAAAAGGGACAGTTCCTGAAAGAGGCAGGAGGTGAAAATATGATGGTGGACAGAGTGATATCTATCAACGACACCCTGGCATGAAAGTTCACAAGACAGAAATGCTGGCAAGTGGATTTCTAGCAATGATGAGATTGACATTTAGCAAATAATCTGCTACACGATGATGATGATGATGTGTAGCATTCACTTAGTGCAAACATTGAAGGACAATTTTCAGGTAGCATGCATGCTTCTTGAGGATCCCTAAAAAACATTTACCTATCAATGTTCCTCCTCCCAATGTAGCCAGGCCAATCAAAGCGTAGCGTTTGTATTTTCTTCTCTTTGCTCTTCTTGCCTTTTCAATTTTCTCCTCCCTAAAAAAAAAATTCAGCACAACATACATATAAGTAAAATGCCAGCACATAGGTAAACTAAAACAAAGAAATATAATTACAGAATTCTGTTATAGTGCATCCATCGACGATGGGGTCGCCCACTGGCTTGCCAGTAGGTGACTTCGTTGCCGGTCAAGACAATATTTGGGTCTGTCTTCTTCAATCTCATCAACACTGCAGGCGTTCTTTTCTGGGCTCTTCGTGGCGTGCAGTGCTAAGCCATTTTTATGGTGCACATAACCTAGTCACAATTGTAACCTAAAGCTCCACTTTGGAGGTGCTAATTGAGCGTGACAATTGTTATTTTGTTTTCAACAAACACCTAATATTGCAACAGATAAAATTGTTTGGCTATCTGACAAAAATGCTTGGTATCAACTTTTTTTTTTTTTTTTTAACGTATCCAGAAACCATGAGTTGTAAACCCTTTGGCTCGGTACTATGGATATCGCAACCCTTCGGCATTGATTCCATTATAGGTACCGTTAATCTGGGAGAAATGTGGCTTTTCTGCCTACCCCCGGGAGTGAACCCGGACCACAAGGAGTTCGTCACCCGGCCGCCGCGAAAGTCAGGTTTAACCAACTTCGCTAGAGAGCCGGGTCTTGGTATCAACAACATGCAAAAGCCATGCTGCAGAAATATAGAATTTGGCATCAAGAATAACCCTAGAGAAATCCCAACAAACTTGTACAAATCATTCGAAAGAACACAGACAATCCTTACATCTCCCCTCAACACTTTCCTGAGGTTACAGGAGAAGCATATGAAGCTTGTTGTTTGTCGAGATAATTTCTCCAGGTCAAGGACATCAGATAATTTGCCTATGGAACTGCTATGCAGTGTATGATCTCGTCATTATCATGTGCCCTGCCAACTGGCCTAGGTGCTCATGCGTCTCCACAGATCACGATCCCTGGTTGCCTGGGACAGCTCCCTTGATAATATCCCTCTGTGCCATCGCTTCAACCCATCTAGCATCATCTCTCTTGGTCTGCCTCTACCCCTTTTTCCATGTATGAGCTGGAACTTTTATTTCACCTTTAAATTAGAGCTCTAATCCTGTGATGTATAAATGAATTTTTAAAATCCAAACTTACTATTTAATAGAATGCTAGTCCTATCATGGGTGAGATGAGATTAGACAATCCTGGTCTTAATGCAGATTAGATTAGAACTCTGATTCTAAGATTTGTAACAGAAAATAACTTGGTGCTCTTTATGGAGATACAACTCTGGTCCCATGTGTTATCAGAGATCAGAGACAAATACTCTGGCATTTTTGGAGATTGGAACTCAAGTCCAATAATATGTTAGATGTGCCTTCCAGCTAATCCTCTCCCATCCCTGACACCAACAAATGTGCCCAAAACCAGATCACACACACAGTTTTTTTTTTTTAAACCTTAACCTGGAAATAAATAATTACAAATGGCACAGCCGAGGAAGAAAGAGGAATCGTAAGCAAGCATCAATCCTTACAGAATCGATGAAAAAACACAGATAAAGAAAAAAAACCAGTCAGATTAAATCTGTGACAATGAGAAGGTGAGAGCCTCTCCGCCATACAAAATGTATCACACACCATTGCCATATCGCTCAATTTCCTTTCAATTTAAAGAAATGAAATCACAAGAGAAAATGTTTCCCAAACCCAGTAGGAAAGTATTTCTACAGACACTGTTGCAGAACTCTTGCTTTCCTTCTCCAAGTGTAGAAATCATGTTGATCTGCATAACCCACAATGATCTTGCCCTGTGAAAAAGCTCATTAGGATGTAACCAGGACATGATTCAGCAAATCAAATCTGGACTGGCTGGGATTAACTCTTTGGGCACCAAGGAACACTAATTTATCTGTCCTCTGGAAGTGAGAGATTTAACTCTAGTCTGATAAAGTTTCCACCACAGGTTTGAGATATTACACTGTCAATAGGTTCCAACCTACTTCCCAAAGGGCCTAGTAAAATAAACTTAAAGGACCTTTCTTCAAACCAGTGATATTTGTTATAGACCAATCAACACTCAGTGGATGATGTGGTCAACATCAAGCCAGCTGCCTTTACTTCCCTTAACACTTTCTTGTACTAATCTTAGGCACAATCAAACAGGGAATCAAGGGCAATTATTTAAAACAAAAAGATGTGGATTCAAACTGAAAACCTTTGAGCCATCAGGCAAGCCACGAGAAAACAAAATAAACATTAAAAAATAAGAAAATGGATTTACAATAATTCAGACATTGTTCATTCAGAGACAGCGACAATGTCGACTGCCACTGAATGTACATGGGCCGATTAAATTGTCCTATGATGTTTAACAGCAAAAGTTATTTATGATGAAAAACTAAGCAAACAAAGATGTTTCAAGATAAGCATAAATAAACCTGAACATAAGAAAATGCATGTTACAAAAGATACGGAAATCAAACCATATGTTAATTATAACAAGTAAGATAGATTTCTTTACAAGAGGATCAAGTTCAACCTATATGTTATTTCCTATGCCTCTCAGCCTCTCTCATCAAAGCCGCCACTAATATGATGAGAATGTTACACAAAGCATTATCTCCTAAGCTCCAGTGATGATCCCCATGAATCTTCAAAATGCCTGCACTGGTGAACCAAATTACGGAATCTAAAGCCCAATCCACAAACACTAGAGTGCAAGGCAAACAGAATAACTACTTAGCAATGGAGATCCTTTTTCTTCCTCATCATTCGTCTGAGTGATGTAAATGTTGTATACCTAATTACAACATATCTGTGATATTTGTGCCTTTCAGCCAACATGAGAGGAGCGGACGGCCGAACGATTAGAAGGCTAGACTCTCATTCAGGAGACCCGGGTTCAAATATTTGGTAAGGCTGGGTGTTTTTTATTTCTGTCGGGTACACACACACAAATCCTCACCTGCACAGTCTGTGGCGACAGCACTAGCCATGCAGCCCTAAATCCTCAAAGACCCCCCCCCCCCCCCCCTCCCCAAGCCTACACCACAAAAGTTGTATAATAAAGGCAGTAACTGGCAGCCAATATGTCCGACTTCTTCAGACATTTGTTATTCGCATTAGCTTTCCCGGTTAGTTCTGTGGGATATCTGTAACCTCAAACGTGTGGTGACTTGACATCAGCTGATCCACAGGTGCTGTCTCCAGAGGACCTGTAGAGGGCAGCTGAGTGCAGCCTCAAGGGAAGGTAGAGGCAGTGAGTGCATGGGGCTCTGGTTCTGAGCTCACCCAAGGAATCCCCATGCCCTGCACATGACTGCATAACCTCACATCCCTTTACATAGCATTCTACTCATTACAGAATTAGGGATCTTTCAGAAACAGTCTGCAGAGCTCCGACTCCCTGCACAAATGGGCACCTCGCTTCCTCAGCATGTCATACTTCTATCTTTGACAATGGCACCTTTCACATGGATACCCCAGTTACTTGATGCAACATTTATGGAATGCATGTCTCAGGCGTGGCTTTCCTGTATGGTCCTCACACCTTTGCACTCATCAACTACTGCCTTTTTCTTTTACAAACTAAACCTCATATTACTGTACTTTTCCAAAGTACTGATAAATTACTGTACTTTCTAAAATACTGACAGGCCAACCAAGAAAGAGACGGGTGGCTGAAGTTTTTAAAAAAAAAAACTATAGAAACTCAATATGACAAGCTATGCAACCAGCAAAGGATAGGAAACTACATCTAACTCCCCTCTGCAACACTTTATTGCATAAGCAGTGTGACAGCAGAAGAAGAAGAAGAAAAAAAAAAAACTTTCTAAAGTACAACACACAATTAAACAGTCCAGGTAGCTGAATATGCTGGCTAAAAGAATAATAATAATAATTTTTTTAAAAAATGACAATTCCAAATGTTTAAATGTTCTCTGTTTAAGTCTTTACTATTTATGAAGCATAACACCACCAACCTAACTTTTATTAACTAAAGGAAAATTAGTAACAGACCTTTTTCAAAGGTTTGAGGTTTGAACAACGGCTCAACATCACGGCACACTGTTAGTAACCCATAAGTGCTTTGTTCTTCTTCTAACTCAAATCTGAGTCCGAATAGAAGCTCAGCACAGTGCACAGGTTCTGTAGCACTGGCAAGGATCCTGAAATACTTTGAGCAGATTTTTAACTCAAAATTTTACCCGGGCAGCGCCGCTAGGCTACTCTTTTCAATTTCCAACTGCCAAAACCTTTTTTGGCTTTGTGCAACAATGCACAATGGAGTCCGATCTCACTACCCAGAGACCAGGGGGAATTACTAGAAGTCCAATTCTACATGAAAAATTTCCAGCCCTTACCTGGGTTTATACCCGGAACCTCTAGCACTCAAGGCAGACACCATGCCTCGAGACAACACAGTCCCTTTTTCAAAACTGTCCTTTGCTCCTTGGCTGAGCCAGTCTTAAATACCAGGTAAAAGTCATAGGAAGTACAAGCGGCCTGGGTGATGTGGGACATCACACACCCTTGTGTTGATTGGTCTATACGATATAGGGCTAGCCTTATATACCCAATCGACCTGAAGGTATGAAAAATGCTCCGCAACTTACTTTAGACAGCATCAGACTTGTCATTCACTGATGCCTACCAGAATATGGTAACGATACAATTAAGTCACAAGTAAAGGACCCTTTGCATGCCATTGGTGAACTGGTCATATGGTGCTAGAGCCATGTTTTTATAGACCAACTGGCATTTGATGGGTAATGTGGTCAAAATCATGCAAGCCGTTTTTATTTTCCAGGACATTTCCTCATTAGGTTAGGTCCCCCAGGGAGCGATAGTCAATTTTTTTTTAAACATAAGGTGCAGACTCAAACCCTAGACCTTTAGCCTAGCAGGCAAGCATAACCCACCGAGCTACTGCAGCTACCATATAAAAGTAAATGTCCTAATCCCATACCATGAGGTAGGCATGGTAACAGTACTGCCCTATAGATGATGTGGTCATATCTGTATAAATTAA